AAAAAAAAAAAAACAGCAGCAGACCCACAGAACCCAAGAATGGACTAGCAGTTGCCAAAGGGAAAGGGACTGGGCGGGTGGTGGGTGGGAAGGGAGGGATAAGGGGAATAAGGGGCATACGATTAGCACACATATTGTAGTAGGGGGGCACAGGGAAGGCAGTATAGCCCAGAGAAGACCAGTAGTGACTCTATAGCATCTTACTATGCTGATGGACAGTGACTGTAATGGGGTATGTGGTGGGGACTTGATAATGCAGGGAATCTAGTAACCACCATGTTGTTCATATAGTTGTATATTAATGATACCAAAAAAAAAATATGTAAGAAGCCTTGTCTCCTGGAGACCACACTGAAATGACAGTGATACAGCTCAGAAACGATCATTCATATACATAATCAAGGAGGAAAATCAGAAGAACCAAGGCAATGATGAGAACTGATTCCTCTCCAGCTCTGGACCCCTCCATGGCTCCTGTGTCCCCTCACCAATCCTGCACCAGGACTAGCCCATTACCTGAGCCACACCCTGCTTATTCTCCAGTCTGGCTCATGCTGTTCCTCCTGCCTGGAATGGCCTGCCCCACATTCTACCCTGGACATCCTACACAACCCACAGGACCCGCTCCAACACCCTAAAGGCCTGCATCGCCCTCGCCTCTCAACTCGGGATTCACTGTGCCCTCCTCTGGCCCTGTGGCCCTCTACCCCAGCCACACTAACTACTGGATCTGCTGTATAAAGTCAAGTTCATCCCCCTCATTTGTCAGATAGGAATCTGACCACTAAAGAGATGGAGGGGCCCCCAGTCACACTGCAGCAGGTGCTGAGGCCACCACAATGTGAGGCTTCTTGTGTGAATGCCAAGCATTCTGAACTCTATCTAGCTCTGAGGGTCAAAGTCAAACCCAGCAAAGACACCCTGAGTTTGGGCACAGACGCTGTAAAGAAGCTCAGAGGTTAGTCATAACTACCACCCAATTTTACTCTCCCATTTCTGTTCTGCCCCCTTGGTGCCAAAAAGGGAAACTGAAACTAACAGGCAGCAGGGCCAAGGGCGTGTGAAATGTCCTGTCCTCATCGCTGAAGAGATCTGGAACAGGGCTTGGAGTCTTGTGGCTGGGGTGATGGCCTCTGGACCCAGGTTTGGACCAGGGGAGACAGGCCTGAGCTCTCAGAAGCCCAGGAGGTTGGCAGGAGGCTGGGGCAGGAGGGGATGCCAACCCCAAGCTTCACCTAGTGGCTGTCTTTGGCATCTGCCTCCTCCTCTTCATCCCACTGCTAAAGATTTGGTCCAGCCCTCATTTCTCTTGCCTTAATTACTGCCAAGGGCTCCTGACAGCCCTGTCTGCCATCAGCTCCTTCCCTGTTCAAACTGTCCTCCATAAACTCATAAAGCTGATCCTGTCACTCCCCTGCCCAAACTCTGCAGAGGGATCCACATCCCTCACTGCTCAGAGTTTTGTGCAAACTCTGTGTAAACTCTGGCATATAGACAACAGCTGTGCCCCAAGTTCTTGGCCTTCAGAGAACCTAGAAGTACCTGGCCTGAATTCGCAGAATACCTAATGACTGGTCTGGGACTTGAGCCCACCTGATGGTAAGCTCCTCTGTCTCACCTCCCTCACCATAACCCAGGAGGCTAGCACGGTGCCTACAAGCCTGAAGCTATCAATAAGTATTTGTTGGAAGGAAGAGCAAGCCCTGAGCTTTACTCTAGCAGCTCTCTATACTTTTCTGAGACAGCATATGGACCTTCTTAGTGTTATTACACTGACATCCAGCTGAAGAACAGCTCTTCCATCAAAATCCATGCCACACCCATCAGGATTAATTGCCCTATCTCTGTGTTCCTGACACACTCCAGGGGCACATCTATATGGCCATACCTCTGCTGCCGCATGTCACAGCCCTGGGCCTACCCAGATTTAGCTGCAGCTGTGGTGCAGTTCCATCCAGGTGGACAGGGTCCCAGCATAAGCACACATTGGCTGTCTTTCCATTTTTGCCCCGGTAGCTGCCCAGGAGTCAGTATGATAGCATGCCCAGAGGGCTAGCCTTAGCTAATGGGGGCAGTTGCTTGTGGATAAATGTTCCAAGCCTTTCTCTTCCAAAAAAGATGGTTCTGGGAGGTTTTCTATGTGCTTCTCAGAGGTCCCAGATGACTGAGCTCAGAATGTGACCTCAAAGACACATCTCAAATTCACTTTTCCTCCTTTCCAGTCTTGTTCCTCTGATCTTTGGGATCACCTGCCCATTTTACTTTTCTCAGGCTCTGCTTTTAGGGAAGTGGACACAATCTCTCAGCACTATGACAATTGCCTCCTGCCTTAACTGTGGCTGCTGGTTCTAAATCTCTCTCTTGCACTGGGCTGTGAGCTCCTTGAACCCCCATAGCACCCAGTACAGTATTCTCAGATAAAAGACCCAACCCTACTCTATGGCTTACCTGGTCTGCAGGCCTGGCCCCTCCCTATCTCTCAGCCTCACTCAGGCCCTCTCCCTCCCCCTCACACTGCAAACCAGCTACCCTTGTCTCTTTATACTTCCTCAACTGTACTGCAATTTTTTCTGCACAGGGCCTTTACACATACTATTCCCCCTGCCTGGAACTCACTCCCACTTCACCTAATTTACTGTCATTCATTCTCTCCATCACCTCCTTTGGGAAGCCTTTTTGATCCCCTCAAGCCATCTTGGTCAAAACAAAAAAAGCTAACACTTTAAATGAAATAATTCATTTAATTCTCATAACAACCTGGGCTAAATATGGTCATTATTATTATTCCCATGTAGAGATGAGAAAACTCAGGCACAGAGAGGCCAAGTAAATTCATCCAAGGCCCTGGAGGTAGTTAAGTACTAGGCTCGATCTAAACCAAAACTGGTTCTAGGGTTCATGCTAAGTTCCTCCATCAGGTTCCTCTTCCCTTAAATGTAAGGGGAGAACGAGGTAGCCTTGCCCACCCTGAGCTAGCCTGCAGACTTACCCCGCAAAAGGCAGTAGGGCTTCCCACTCACCTCAGGCTCCTCCTGCCCATTCTGGCTGAGTTCACCCTGCAGCCTCTCTCGCAGCTTTCCCAGCTCCGCCCGCAGGCTGCCCATCTCCTGCTCCTTGGTTTGCAGGTCTGCCTCTAGTTCCACCTTCTGCTCAATCAGGGCCTTCCCCTGGGCCTCCACCACTGTGACACGGTGCCGGAGGTCATGGTTGATCTTCATCAGCCGTACCTGCTGCTGCTGCAGCTGGGAACACAAGGTGGTCGTATGGGGCCACTGCATAGCAGCTCAGGCCACACACTGCACAAGGGCAAACTGTCTACAGGGGAGCCATTCCTACTGCAGACATCTTGATTTGTCTGAAATCTGTTCATATTATCATAATCTGTTGATGCTAGAGATGGGCAATTTGTATGTTTACTCTGATAATTTTATGACAGATGGAAAATAAGTGTCTTGTTAGTGTAGTATGATAACATCCCAACAGATGGAAATAACATTCCTTGAGAAAAGGGCGTCTAATTCAGGCAGACACTGTAGGGCTCCTGCAGCAGCCTGGGCACACCAGCCTGCTCAGAGGGGAGCAAAGCAGGTACACGAAAGGAAGCCTCAGGGTCAAAGCAAAGGCGGACTGGGCCTCGGGACCTCCTCTGCACCACGTTTCACCTGCTTCTCCAGGAAAGACTCAGCTGCTGTCTCAGGGCTCGGCCTCCCAACTGTGGGCAGGTCCCCATCCCTGGGAGCCCTTGGCATGAGAGGAAGGGGAGACAGGGAACCTCCTGAGGGCAGGCAGAATCCAGTTTCTCGCTGGCACCTCTGGCTGGGAGAGTGGGCATGGGGGTGGGCTCATGCAAGGTTACTTACAGCCTCAACATCCTCACTCTTCAGCCCGAGCTCCCTGTCCTTGGCGCGGATCTCATCACGTTGCTTGTCCACCACCTCCTTCAACTTCTTCATCACTTGCCGCTCACGCTCTGACATGCCTGGGGGGCAGCACGTGCGACCAGCTGGTGAGTCCCCCTCCTTCCCTGTTTGACCCATCCAGCAGCTTCCAACTGAGATGGAACTACCCCCTGTGTTCCCCCATCTCTGGTCTCACCCCACCCAGTGCCTGCTTCTGGTCCCGCGTGCTCCAAGCCCATCCTGCCTTGGGACATTTGCCATTGTGATTCCCTCCCATCCCATCCCTGGGTGGCTGCCCTCATTTTCAGGCCTCAGCTCCCACATCATCTCCTCACAGAGGCCTTTCCTTCCCTAACACCCTAGAGTAGCGCCCCTCTCTGTCCATTACCTTCACAGCACTCTTTACAATTACTAAGTGTCTTGTTCACCCTTTCGACCAGCAGAAGACGACACCGCACAGTGATTCAGAGTGTAGGCTCTGGGGCTCAAACAGTGGCTCTCCCATATATTAGCTGTGTGGCTTCAGGCTAGCTACTCTGTGCCTGGGTTTCCCCATACAGCTGTTGTGAGGACTGATTTGATTAATGAGCACGAAGCACGGGAGATGATGCCTGGCATACAGCTGAAGGGATGTTGTCTGTTACTTAACTCATGCATTGTCTGTTCCCTCTGCCCTTCACACCCCAGTATCCTGTCAACCCCAGGAGGCCAGGCTTTTCCTGAATTCTTTGCTGGTATGTCCCCTGGGCTGGCACAGTGCCTGGCATACAGTAGGTGCTTGCTAAATGATCTGGTGCATTAATGAACTCTGAGGATGGGAGTTGTATTAGTTTCATGAGGCTGCTGTAACAAATGCCACAAATTTTGGTAGCTTAAAACAGCAGAATTTAATTTTCTCATAGTTCCCAAAGATGGAAGTTCAAAATCAGTCCAAAATCAAGATGTTGCAAGGGAGAGTTTGTTCCTTGTCTCTTCCAGCTTCTGGTGATGGCTGGCATTCCTTGGCTTGTGGCCGTATCACTCCAGTCTCTGCTCTATGGTCACATGGCCTTCTCCTCTTCTGTGTTGAATCTCTCTCTGCCTCCCTCTTACAAGGACACTTTGATTGCATTTAGGGTCTATTTGATAATCAATGATAACCTCCCCATCTCAAGATCTTGATCTATAAAGATTTTACCATATAAGGTAACATCCACAGGTTCCAGGATTAGGACCTAATATTTTGGGGGATCATTATTTACCTCCACAGGCATTGGGCCTGACAGCTAATCCTTGTTCCCCAGGTAGCCTATGCTGGGAGTGGCAGTGGTCCAGCTCAGCCACACACTAAGAAGAAACCTCCCCCATGTCCCTTCCCCCAGAACTCAGGGGACACATGGCCAGATACCAGGCCCTGAGAAGAGAAACTATGTGTGCATGGTAGGGCTGAAATTAAGGGTAGGCAGAATCTATGAAAAACCCACAAAAGCCTTCCCTGTTTGCTCTCTGAGCACCTGTCCAGTAGCATCAACAGTAGAGCTCTTTTAATCCTTGCGGTGGTGGGGGAAGGGTTGGGGTGGGGGAGCACAAGTCCACCCTGGAAAAATCAGGTGGGAAGAACAGCTAAGTGGGGGGTGGGGGGGCGTGAATCTGGAGGAAGGAACCTGGATCTGTAGTAGCCTAGCTACATCATTCACCTTTATGGACACCAGTGGCTGTGAGTCTGAGAGACTGGAAAACAAAATGGTGGAGAGCTTGGGGTCTGAAGCTAGATTCCTGGCTCTGCCCCTTACCTGCTGTTGACCTTGGGCATGTTTTCTCCCTTGCAAATGAGGATCCTGTGGAGTCCCCCCACCTGTGATGGGGTGATCTTGTGAGGTTGCCAGGGTTAGTCTATGTGAGGCCCTCAAGACAGGCCTGGCACAGAGTAAGTGTCTCTAAGTGTTAGCTGTCATTTTATCCATAAAATGGAAATTCCAGTCCTCCCTGCTCCAAAGGTTGCTGCTAAGATCTAGAGTAGTTACAAAAGTGCTTTGAAAAATCAAAAGGTTAAATGTTTTTAATAGATTCACAGACATTGTGAAAAGCTGGAAGAGTTCTGAGCAGTCATTGAGTCACCCAGCAATTCAGGATCCTGGAATCAAGATTTAAAGACACATTCAGGCAGACACAAGCAGAAGCAAGTCCAAAGTCAGCCACACGAGCTATGTTTGCAGTGGCGCAAAAATAGCAACGATCCGAATACCGACCAGTAAGGAAACAGCTAAAGAAACAACGGCCTTCCACACAGTAGGACACTCGGTAGCTGATTAAAAGCTTGAGATACACTGTTAAGTCAAACAGGCAAGTGACAAAGTCACAGCAGGGCTATTTACAATAGACAAGAAGTAGAAAGAGCCCAGATGTTCATCCAGGAATAAATGGATAAACAAATTACGGTCTGTCCATAACGATGGCATACTAACTGCCCATGAAAAGGAAGGAAGCACTGACCTATGCTACAATGTGATTAACCTTGTGAACATTACGCAAGGGACAGAAGCCAGACACAAAAGGCCACATATTGTTATGACTCCACTTACATGAAATGTCCCATTGGAGACTAGCAGATGCCTGAGTCTGAGTTGGAGTGAGCAGGGACAGGGGAATAACCGCTATGGGCACAGGGTCTCTTTTGGGGGTAGTGAAAATGCTTTGGAACTAAAAAGAGGTGGTGGCTGCATAACGTTGGAAATAAATTATGTACTAAATGCCACTGAACTCGTACCCTCTAAAACTGTTAATCCGATGTTATTTCATAAATTTTATGTCAATTTTTTAAAAAAGGGCAACTCAAACAATAAACACATTATTTTAATTCATGTACAAAAAAAAACCCAAAAAGGCTAATGACATTCCAAACAGCACAATCCTTTTTATTTAACAACAAAATACATAGTTGCTGCTAGTGTCAGCATTGTAGCAGCTTTTGCTTATAAAAAACAAAATACACAGGGAATATGTGTGTAAATGCCTAGAAAGGGATGGTTTTGTCTCTGGCAAGTGCAGTGACAATGAGGTAAAGGGAATTTCCATGTTTTCTTGAGCTTTGTTTCTGTCTTTTACAATATACATGTTAGGGTGTTTTTAAGAGACCGAAACAGGAATTACCACCCAGAAACTCATACTGTCCGCACCTCTTAATCTATATGAGAAAAGTCTGAGCCACTTGTCCCAAAATCTCACTGCTAGTTAGTGGCCATTTGGGAGCTGCAATCCAGGTCTCAGCACCCCAGACCAGGTGTCACCAGAATGGGGTGAGGATGAGGGAGGATGACGATGACAGCTAGCATTTATGGAGTGCCTGCTGGGCTAAGTGCTTATAGGGGACAAAGCTGGTGCTCAGATGCCCTGGGGTCCATGTGTCCACCCCCATCCCTCTTCAATGTGTTTTTGCTATTGACCAGGCACCTGGGGCCACATGAAACTGCAGCCCCCTTGCCTAAGGACAGGAAACTCTGAGGTACAGCTCACACTTTGGCAAGATCAAAGATCATGCCCTTGCTGGGCTCCCCTTCCCCTGTCCTACTTCCTCCTCCCCCAGTAGCCCCCTGGGGGGGGTGCTCCCTTCATAAGTCACCTGCATAGGAATCCTTGTCTCAGGGTCTCCTTCTGGAAGAATCTGATCTAAATGGTATTTAGCTCATTTTATCCTCAGAATACCTACCTTATGAACTAGGTCTCCTGTTGTCCCCATTTTGCGGTCGAAGAAACTGAGGTAAACAATAGCTAGTTAATTTATGCAAGGCCGCAGGGCTCGTCTGGCTAGTGCAGGGCACAATGCAAACTCAGGCAGTCTAGCCAAAGCCCACACTCTTGCAACCATTGTCTACTGTCTCTCCCAGGCTAGTCATCACGTCATCAGCAAGTGTACTGCAGCGAAGTATCCTGCAAACATCATGTCCACCTGGAACCTCAGAGTGTGACCTTATTTGAAAATAGGGTCTTTGCAGATACAATTTGTTAAGATGAGTCATGCTGGAGGAGGGTGGGCCCTGAATCCAAAGACTGGTGTCCCTACAGGATAAAGGAACCCACTCTGTACAGTGGGCTCCTTTACTCCGCAGCCTCTAACATATCACCTTCTATTTTGGAGGCAGTGTTATTCCAGGCTGCCCATCAGAAAATGGCTATGTGGTCAGTTTTCCCCCCTCTCCTGGTGACTGAGTTGTCTGTTCAGAGCCCACAAATTTTTTCCAGGCCTTTGAGCGTGGCTCCACATCCCATCTTCTTGTGATAAGCTGTAATTCGTTTCCACATGTGCTAACAAGTAGTTTCTATCACTGCCCTTCAGCTGTCGAGTTTCTGAGAATGGGGCAGGTAAGTGCTTTTTAATCTGGAGACTTCTGGGAGGGACGGGAGAAAGAAGACCACAGGCAGCACCAAGCCTGGCATTAACAGCTAGGAAGGCAACACTGTCCCATGCAGGGCTGGCCCCTTGGAGCGGACTCCCCACCGCACTCAGCCACCTTGCCTCCCACACCAGAATCAGACAACTACACCTCAATTCCTCAGTTTGCCTGAGGCCTCACCCCACCACCCAAAGCAATGCCTGGCACACGGTGTAACCCTCTGCCCCATGCCTGCTCCTCTCACATGCGGAAGAAATGCTTTTGTCCATGTGTTCCCATGGTTTCCCAAGCAAAATAAAAATAACCATGAAAGGCACACCTGACATCTGCCCTGTCTCTCCACTCAGGTGAGGGCTGCAGCCAAGCCGAGAACCCAAGCTTCCCAGAGCTAACCCTTGTGGAGCCAGACCCACGAGAGATACCAGTGAGGTGCATCGCCGGTGGCGCCCAGAGGGCTGTTTCATGATAAGCCAGCAGGGGGCAGCGTGCACACACACGCAACCAGTGTAAGGGAGGACCCAGGCGTCCCGGTCCATGGCTGGGCCCTTCATGGACGTGGGGAAGGGCAGGCAGAAGTATAATAGTGTACTGGCTTTAATAGACCACTGATCATATTCTAGATTTTTACTGTTATTTTTTCTGCTTTCGACTATCCATTACTAAGAAAGACATGTAAAACTCCCACTATGATTGTGGATGCATTTCTTTTCATTTCTGTCCACTTTTAAAATTATTATACTTAAAGTGTACAATTTGGTGGTTTTTTAATATATTCACAAGTTGTACAACCATAACTACACTTTCATCACCCTCCAAAAAAAAAACCTTAATTAGCAATCAGTCCCCCTAAGTTCCCTCTAGCCTCTTATGCCTATAGATTTGCCTATTCTGGTCATATTTCTGTTCACTTTTGCTTTATATATTTTGAGGCTAAATTATTTAGTGTATACAAATTGGAAATCATTGTATCTTCCTAGCAGGCTGAATTTTCTATCATTGTAAAGGGACCTTTTTGATCTGTTTTAATGCTGCTGCCTATTCTGTCTTACATTCATACAGCTATACCAGCTTTCTTTGGGTTAGTGTTTACATGGTATACCTTTTCCCAGCCTTTTATTTTCGACCTTTATAGGAGATGCCTTTTATAAGCAACACGTAGCTGGATTTTTTAATCCTGCCTGACAATCTTTGACTTTTTTAGAACTTTTAGTCCATTTACATTTAATACAACCTCTGGCACAACCAGGTTAAATCTCCCATCCAATAGTCTACCTCTTTGGTACTTTCTGTTTGTGACACTTGGTCTGTTTTTTTCTCTTGTTTCTTGCCCTCATTGAAGGGACAGAGTGTGTAGCATTATGCCACTCTGATAAGAAACAAATTGTATCTTCCTAGCAGGCTGAATTTTCTATCATTGTAAAGGGACCTTTTTGATCTGTTTTAATGCTGCTGCCTATTCTGTCTTACATTCATACAGCTATACCAGCTTTCTTTGGGTTAGTGTTTACATGGTATACCTTTTCCCAGCCTTTTATTTTCGACCTTTATAGGAGATGCCTTTTATAAGCAACACGTAGCTGGATTTTTTAATCCTGCCTGACAATCTTTGACTTTTTTAGAACTTTTAGTCCATTTACATTTAATACAACCTCTGGCACAACCAGGTTAAATCTCCCATCCAATAGTCTACCTCTTTGGTACTTTCTGTTTGTGACACTTGGTCTGTTTTTTTCTCTTGTTTCTTGCCCTCATTGAAGGGACAGAGTGTGTAGCATTATGCCACTCTGATAAGAAACATATATATTTGTTTTTTTACCCTAGTTCTTGACCCAGAGTTCCCAAAACTCTTTACATTTCCTGCATGTTAGGGGTGAGAGAAGTGTCTTATCCTTCATTACAAGCCCCATTCAACTGTATCTGAGTTTATGTTAATAGGGTGATTCTTAGTAGCCCCTAGATAGCTTCAGGATGGGGGCTGGTTGCTTGAGGAACCAACCACATGATTAGAGGGCTGGAAGTTTCATCCCTACCCCCTGACCTCCGGGGAGAGGAGAGGAGCTGGGATTAATTACTAGTTAATCACCAATGGCCAATGATTTAATCATTTAAGCATTCATGCCAAGGTAACAGAACCTCCATCAATCCCTAAACAGGGTTCAAGAGCTTCTGGATTGGTGAATACATCCATATGCACAGAGGTGGTACACTCCAAATCCACTGGGACAGAAATTCTTGCACTTGGGATATTTCCAGACTCCACCCTGTGTACCTCTTCATCTGTATACTTTATTATAGCCTTAGTAGCGTTTATAAATTGGTAACAGCAAGTAAAGCATTTCTATGAATTTTATGAGTCATTCTAGCAAATTATTGAACCTGAGAGGAGTTATGGGAACCTCTGACTTTGTAGCCAAGTTGGACATAAATGTGGGCATCCTAGGGACCTGATACTTGTTGTAACAGTAGCTGACACTAAGTGTATGTTCCAGGTACTACACTAAGCAGTCTACATCTGATGTGGGGCAGTCCTTAACCTGTGGGATCTGATGCTAACTCCCAGAGGTTATGTCAGAATTGAATTATATTACAGGACATAAAAGCTGGTGTCTAAAGAATTGGAAAATTGGTTGGTGTAGAGAAAAAAAAACCCAAAACCCACATCTGGTGTCAGAAGTGTTGTAAGTAAAAAAATAGTTTTCATTTAGCCAAGCTCTTTCATACCTGCCCCTTCTGGTATTGCAGAAGGGAGAGTCGGGCCCTAGCATATGCTTCTCTGCCTCCAACCTGGCAGTCTAGAGAGCCAGGACAGAGCAAGCACTCCAGGCATAAATGGGTTTACAAACAGTGCCCTCTGGACACTGGAATATCACAGTGGCCTAATCCATGGGCTGGGCACAATTCCTATGTCCTCCTTGGCCTGAACCACATGTCTCTGCTGGCCCCAGATCAAGGGGTCCCAGAGAGATACAAGCCTTCCTTCAGGGGCTGATTTAAACAGACCTGAGGTTCAAGTCCTAACTCTGCCACCAACTTGCTGTGTAACCTTGGGACAATCACTGTCCCTCTCTCAGCCTCAGTTTTTCTCATCTGTTTAATGAATAGGTTGGACAGATAACAACTTATTGTAACAGTAGCTGACACTAAGTGTATGTTCCAGGTACTACACTAAGCAGTCTACATGTATTAATTCGTTTAATCCTCACAACAACCTTATAAGGGAAATCCAGTTATTTCTCCCATTTTTACTTGTGGAGCAAGTTAGGCCCACAAAGGTCAGGTGATTTGATCAAGGTCACTTAGCAAGTAAGTAGTGGGTTAGGACTCACACCTCAGTAGTCTGGCTCTGGAGCGCTTATAACCACTAAGACTTTTGTTTCCACTGCACGAATTATGTCTCAACAAAGGAAACCCAATGAAAGTACCTAGAACAAAATTTCCTTTTTTTTCTTGGTTCCTACAGTCCTTATCAGTGTACTACCTTTGTCTCATGATGTAATCACAAGTGCTGACCTTCATGCAAGTTCATCTCCCATCCATCAGACCTAAAGAGGGGGCTTGTATGGGGACCCAAGGAGTTATCTGGACTAAATTGGGTCTGAGGTTCCTTGGGGCAAACTGCAAAAGGCAGCTTCTGACTGGGAAGAAAACTGCAGGGGAGAACAGAGATGATGCAGCCCACAAGGACTCAGACCAAGCCCCACTGTCTGTCTTTGCTTCTCCAGCACAGGGTCTGGAGTGAAGGTTCCAGATAAGTGTTTGCAGGATAAATGTCGGTTGAGCAACTCCAGTGCCAATCAGATCTGGGTTACTCTCTTGGGTTGTGCATTGTTAAACATGTGTCTATGACAGAAGTCTCAAATCTCTTCCCAGAAGAGGGAACAAATCCCTTCTCAGAATAATCACACACAGAATAAAATCTAAACCTTGACCTCTAAGGGGCTATGTCATCGACTCCTGCTAACACCTCTTACCTCATCATTAGCCAGCTTCAGCCACTATTAGCTTCTGTTATACTGGCCTTCTTGGTTTTCCGTAAACACTCATGCCCCAGGACCTTTGCATTTGCTTCCCTCCCAAGATTTTGGCATGGCTCACTCCATGAATTAACTAGGCCTCATCTTGGCAGGAGGCCTTCCCTGATCACCATATCTTAAGAAGCCCCCATCAAATCACCTCTATCACCCCTACGTGTTTTAGATCTTCCCTGTATGGGTCACCATCTATTTGTTTATATATTTATCACACAGTTCCTCCACACTAGGACATAAGCCTCATGAAGGCAAAAGCTTTGTCTTATTCAATGTGATTTGCCAGGAACTAGAAAAGAGCCTAGGAAATCAAGGAATCTACAGCAATGTGTTGAATGAAGCTTGTAGTCTCAGCGTCTGTAAGTCAGGCTACAGTTTTCTCAGGCAGAGTGATAGAACAATATGAGACAAGAGGCTTTGGAAATTAAGAAGCACCATCGCTCAGGGACCATGACCATTTCTGTTCCTGGCAATGTGGGTGACGTCCATGGGAAGAGCCTCCTCCTGACCTCCCATGCTGACTCCTGCCCTCTTACCTTCGTGCTTCTGGAACTCCTCCTCGGAGAAGCTGACGTCCTTGTGGGAGAGGTTGGTCATGAGCTGCTTGTTCTCCTCCTGCAGCTGTGCGATCTGGGAGAGAAGGTCCTGTGCTTCCCCTCGCCACACGTCCTCCACCAGCTCCAGCTCCTGCCAAGGGGATGCTCTGGTGAGGGCTTACAGCCTGCCCAGGACAGCAGCCTCACCTCCTGACCCTGGGAAGCAGCTTGGGGTTGCCAGGGCTTTCAGTCGTCCCCTTCTCCATGAGAACCAGGCAGCTGGCAGGCAAGCAGACAAGGCCACCACTAGCCCACGTGGCAACTTTGCAACAAATAGTAGGCATCCTTCTTCTGGGCAAGGTCTGCATTCATGCTATTGGGACCTGGCCAGGCAAGACCTGCATCAAGGACAACCACAGAGCTGGAATTGCCCTTTTAACTCTCAAGACAGGAAAGAGAGCAGATGAGTAGCCCCAGGCTAAGGGGACCCTAACATTTCCAACCTCTCTGGGAAGGTCACATCCCTGACCTTCGGACAGACCCTCAGTCAGGGCAAACTTCTCTCCAAGGGAGAGAGAGGCTGCAAATATCCTGAAGAAGCCACTTGGTCTCAGAGTTCCTTGTATGTCTGATACAGGCATCACTTAGGCAACTTATTTTACAACTCTGAGCCTCAGTTTCCCTCAGTTTGGGGGCCAGCACATAAAGGCTCACAGGGTTGATGTGAAATAAACAAAATCAGTCTATTAAAATTATTTTGTGGATGACTGTAAACAAAGTAACAAATAATAACAAGTGTTGACAAGGATATGAAGAAATTGGAACCCCCGGGCATTGCTGATGAGTGTGTAAAATGGTGCAGCCACTGCGGATAAGTCTAGCATTTCCACTTAAAGAGTTACCACATGACCCAGCAAGTCCACTCTAGAGTCTGCCCAAGAGAAATGAAAACACACGTCCACACAAAGTCATGGATGTGAATGTTCACAGTAGCATTATTCAGAATAGCCAAAAGGTAGAAACAACCAAAATGTCCATCAACTGAGGAATGGGTGAATAAAATGTGGTCTACCCAGACAAAAGGAATGAGGTACTGACACATAGCTACCCCATGGATGAGCCTTGATAACGCTGTGCTTAGTGAAAGCAATCAGTCACAAAAGGCCACATGTTGTATGTCCATTAATGTGAAATATCCAGAATAGGTAAATCCATAAAGACAGAAGACTGGTGATTGTCTAGGGCTGGAGGTTGTAAGGGCAAATGAGGAATGACTGTTAATGGGTGTGAGTTTTCTTTTCAGAGTAATGAAAATGTTCTAAATTTGAATTTGGTGATAACAGCAAAGCTCTCTGAACAGACTAAAAACCATTGAATTTTATGTTTTAAATGGGTACATTGTATGGTATGTGAATTATATTCAATAAAGCTGTTGCCAAAAGTAAAAGGTATTTTTGCAAAGCCATAAACCAAAGACAGAATTATTGCTATTGCCTGTACAGAATTCTCATTTAAAGCATGGATACTGGGGCCTGGAGAATAGTGTTTAAATCCTGTTTCCCCCAGTTGCCCCGATCACCGTATCTTAAGAAGTCCCCACCAAATCACCTCTATCACCCCTACCCATTTTAGATCTTCCCTGTATGGGTCACCATCTATTTGTTTATATATTTATCATCCAGCTCCTCCACCCTAGGACATAAGCCTCATGAAGGCAAAAGCTTTGTCTTATTCAATGTGTATTGACAAGAACTAGAAAAGAGCCTAGGAAATCAAGGAATCTACAGCAATGTGTTGAATGAACCTTGTAGTCTCAGCGTCTGTAAATCAGGCTACAGTTTTCTCAGGCAGAGTGATAGAATAATATGAGACAAGAGGCTTTGGAAATTAAGAAGCATCATCGCTCAGGGACCATGACCATTTCTGTTCCTGGCAATGTGGGTGACGTCCATGGGAAGAGCCTCCTCCTGACCTCCCGTGCTGACTCCTGCCCTCTTACCTTCATGCTTCTGGAACTCCTCCTCGGAGAAGCTGACGTCCTTGTGGGAGAGGTTGGTCATGAGCTGCTTGTTCTCCTCCTGCAGCTGTGCGATCTGGAAGAGAAGGTCCTGTGCTTCCCCTCGCCACACGTCCTCCACCAGCTCCAGCTCCTGCCACAAGGACGTCAGCTTCTCCGAGGAGGAGTTCCAGAAGCACGAAGGTAAGAGGGCAGGAGTCAGCATGGGAGGTCAGGAGGAGGCTCTTCCCGTGGATGTCACCCACATTGCCAGGAACAGAAGTTATCCAACCTTTGGGTGCCTTGGAAATGAGGAAAACAGTGTAACATCTACCTCTGAGTGTTGTTGTGAGGATTCAATGGTTAACATAGATAAATGTTTGGAATAGTGCCCAGCACCCAGAAAGGGCTAACAATGTGTCTGCTGATTTCTGTTCCTCCTATGGTACTGCACAAGCCGGCCTCCGTGCATCTTCCAAATAAGTTCCTAAATCCCACCTCCTTTGTCAAGAAGCCTGCTGCACTGGGGAAATGAGAGATAACAAATATTCACACAGCTGTTTCAAGGTCACCAGGGGAGGTGAAGGGCAGGGCCAGAGGGCAAAAGTCGTGGGATGATGGAGTGGGCACGAGACCTTCCCACATGCAGGTGTGGGCTGGAAGCAGTCTGGTTCTCCCCACCCTTGTCCTCCCTGCTCCCACCTGGCACAGGCTGAACACACAGAGGGCCTCAGCAGGTATCGGCCAAGTGTAACTGGATGGGGCAGGCAGAACAATGGTCCCCAAAGACATCCACATCCTAATGCCTAGAACCTGATCGTACATGACCTCCAATGGCAAAGATACTTGGCAGGTGTGATTGAGTGAAGAATCCTGAGACAGGGAGATTCTCCTGGATAATCTGGGTGAGCCCAATGTCATTGCAAGGGTCCTTATAAGTGAAAAAGGGAGGCAGGAGAATTAAAGTTAGAGACTATGTGGCAACAGAAGCAGAGGTCAGAGTTAGAGATTTGAAGATGATACACCGCTGGCTTTGAAGATGGAAAATGGAACCACAAGACAAGACATGCACGTGGCCTCCAGAAACTGGAAAAGGCAAGGAATTGGCTTCTTTAGGGCCTTCAGAATGAATGGGGCCCTTCAAACACCTTGATTTTAACCCAGTGAGACCCATTTCTGACTTCTGGACTCCAGACCTAAGGCTTCCAACCTTACCCATATTGATATTATCCATAAATGTCCTATCATCCAGTATGATAATAAATTTGCAATGATATGTTACAGCAGCAAGAGGAGACAAATTCAGACTCTAACCCTCAGTTGTTGTTTTTTTTCTCAATCAACTAAACCTGATGCTGGGAGAGCTAGTTCTTGCTTCTGAGCTGAGCATGGAGAATTTAATCTTGCCACAGAGATGCCAGCTGAAAAGGCTCTTCCATAAAGTCATTCCCGATGATCACCTACTTTGCCATCTCTCAGAAGTAACAGTCTTCAAACTCCTTACGTTGGCCTACAGGGCCCAGCATAATCAGACCCTGGCGCCTCCCAGACATCATCTCCCTCTTTATTCCTTACTGGCTCTGCTATAGCCACACTGGCGCTTTCTGTGTTTCTTCAACACACCAAGCTCCTTCCTACCTCAGGGCCTCTGCACTTGTTGCAGGTTCTGCCTAGAATGCCCTGCCCTAGACCTCTCTGCTGGCACCTGCATTTCATTCAAATCTCAGCACCAATGTCGCCTCCTCAGGGAAGTCTTCCTGTCTTCTGACTGGCCTATATATTAGACCCCCACCCTGGCCAGTCCCTTTCTCATCTCCCTGTTTTATTTTCTTGAGGGCAGTTATTACAGGCTGAATTTTTTTTAAAACTATGTCCTCACACCAGAATTGCACAGCCCCACAGAGTAGCCAAAGGCCACATATGGCTGCTGAACACTTGAAAAGGGGCTGGTCTGAACTGAAACATGCATTGAGTGTTAAGTAAGCACCAGATTTCAAAGCTATAGTAGGAAAAAAAGAATGCAAAATACCTCATTAATAACTTTTTTGTTAACTATGTGTAGTGATGGATAGTAACTAAACTATCAGTTCACAATATACACCACATCATTATGTTCTATATACATAACACTAATATGTTTGTTCTATGTCAATTATATCCCAATAAAAATAATTTTTTACATTCATTACATGTTGAAATAATATTTTGGATACACTGGGTTTGATAAGATATGTTATTAAGATCACCCTTTCCAGGAAAGGGACTGGGGAGAATGGGAGGGAAGGGAGGGATAAGGATGGGGAAAAAGAAAGGGGGTATTACGATTAGCATGTATAATGTAGGGGTGGCATGGGGAAGGCTGTGCAACACAGAGAAGACAAGTAGTGATTCTACATCTTACTATGCTGATGGACAGTGACTGTAATGGGGTATGTGGGGGGGACTTGATGAAGGGGGGACCTAGTAAACATAATGTTCTTCATGTAATTGTAGATTAATGAAAACAAAAACAAAAAAAAAGATCACCCTTTCCTTTATTTAATGTGACAAGCCACGTATATTTCTATGGAACAGCACTACACTAGAAAGTCAGGTATGTGAGGGCTAAGACCTCATCTGTTATGGTCACCACTGTTTCCCCAGTGCCCAGAACCGTGCTTGGCACATAGCAGGTGCTCAATAAATGTATCTGTTGGGTGAATAAATGAGGACTATCTGCTATTTACATTATATGCAACTATATCTGCTCAGCTACCACTTTCTAAAGCCTATTTGTTTGTTTTTCCTGCTTTCCCAGTTACCCATGAACCACCTGAGATGAGGACCCAGCCTTCCTTTTCTTTGTATTGCCCAGGTTGCCTACTAGGGCACCTTGCATGCTGTGGCCTGTCAACAGGGTTGCAGACTGAGTAAGCAGGTAGAACATGAAAAGACTATGGCCTGGGTCTGCTTGATGAGCAGATCTAACTGTGTTCAGGGGTGGGGTCTGTTGGGAGGAGGAGTTGGTGTAAGAGAAGGTGCATGCTTTACTGGAGCCATGTTTGTTGACAGAGAAGACACCAAGCTGAGGAAGGCAGGAAGAAATGAAGGGAGGGAAGGAAGAACAAACGGTAACACCAAGGACACGCTAAGATTTTCTGCAGAAATAACACCTTAAAGAGTGTTTGAGACAACAAATCAAATCCCAGACGATTCTCTGTTAATCCCAAGAGTACAGTAAAGGGGACCGGAGCTGGGGGAGGAAAAGGGGTTTTACCCTCCCATCTACGAGAGAGGGTTTTCAGTGTTCAGAAATAAGCCCCGGCTGTGAACACACTGGAGCCGACTTCCTGGCCGACGGCATTCCAAAAGTGGCAAGTGCAGCCAACTGGGAATTCCAACTGACTCCAGGCCTAGTGGCCTCCAAAAGCTCTTAAGGGTGTCTCCAAACCTGCTGCAGGGACAGGGAGATGGGTGCCAGGACTTCTGTGTAGCCCAGGCTAATCCCCTTAGTCCCTGTTAATAAGAGGCAGCAGTATGAGAAGGTTTCAAAGGTCCCTTCCATTTCCAACCCTCTGGGAGAGATGGAGGAATCTGGGGTAGGAGTAGGGGTGCCTGGGATGGGGGTGGGGTCCCCAATATCAGCCCATGAGCACCTTACTGAATACCTTTCCAGGCCTAAAGACAACAGTTATCCTCATAGTGGGTCAGGTGCTGTCCTGAGCACTTTCTACATATGAACCATAATTTTCACCACAGCCCAATTAAATTGTACTATTATTCTCTCCATTTTCAGCTGAGGAAACAGAGGCACAGAGAGGTGAGGTGACTGGCCAAGATTACACAGCCTGTGAATGGTAAGGTTGAGACCAGGCTATCTAGCGCCAAAGTCCCTGCTCCTGGGAGGACTGAGATTAATTACAGGGCTGGGGCACTGTCAGGCTCTCAGTGGGATCCTGGAAATGCTGCCTAATGCTCAGTTTCCTTTCTGACCCCAGGGCACAGCACCTATGAGGACAAACCATCTAACCTTGTAAACACTAGTGCTCTTAACCATCCTTCAGGTTAAGATTGCATACACAGCCTTGAAAGCAAGAAGGACCTCAAAGTACACAATAGGTGATGGCCTGCCAGGGAGGTTCAGAGAGGCCAACGGTATTTCCTGAGGCCACACAGCAAGCCAGAGCTGGCTCAGGCACCCTGATTCTCCAAAGAAAGGCGTTTGTTGTTTCCTCTCATTCTCAGTCGGAAGGGTCTGACAGGAGCATCCCCGGGCTGAGGTTGGGGCAGGAAACCACACAGCTCCCACTTCCTTTTCTCCAGACACCTCATCTGGACGCCCAGCCCAGTGGGGAGGCCCTGATTCATGAGCCCAGAGGGATTCTTGTTCACAGGGCAGAGGTTTAGCCTTAAAGCTGCCCCAAATCATCTTCCCCCAATTCAAATAGGGTGGGGAAGAGGTACTAGCATCAGCTCCACTGGGGTTGGACTCTCTCTCTCAGCACTAACTTGGGACAAATCCTACCTCCCCTCCCACCCCCCAACTCTGGCCCTCAGTTTCTACGTCTGTAAAATGAAGGTAGTAATTCCTACCTCACAGAGTTCTGTGGTGATTAAAGCTAAAATCAAGGTGAAAGCACCTCAGGTCAATAAGCGAGGGAACTCCGAGAAGCAATATGCAAATAGGAACCCAGAGATGGCAGATCACTAAGCTCAATGGCTGGAGTCACATCCCCTTTGCTCTGGGGGAGTTCTAGGGTAAGGCCTAGAGTGGCTTCTTGGGTAACACTGAAGGGCAGGGGGCTGGAAAAGAATGAGATTAAACACTTTAGATAATATCCCATTTAATTCTTGTAAAGTGGGTCCTATTACTATTACCACATGATGTATGAGGAAACAAAAGCACAGAGAGATTAAGTAACTTACCCAAGGTCACACAGCTATTGAATGGTAACGGTGGGATTTGAATTCAGACCTGACTCCAAAGAACTGCCCTTAATTTCCGTGGTATGTGCCAAAAAAGGGCAAAAGAGGGTCAGGGCCTCCTTGCCCCCCTCTCATTCAAGTCGGGTCTCCTTTCGTCTAATCCCTGTACATACGTATGTGTGTTCCTACAGCTAGCTGCCCGGTGCTGAAGAGCCCTTAGCTCCCAGCGGTCCCACTGCCCACAGGGGCAGACTGAGGCCACTGCCCACCTTCTGGTGTTTGCGCTCCTTCTCGATGCGGTCCATCCTCTCCAGGCGCAGACGGTCCAGCTCGAGGCGCAGCTCGTCTAGCTCGGGAGCGACGTGGTGGCGGCTGACCAGCACCTCTAGGATCTCCAGGACGCGCACGACCTTGGGCATAAGGCGCGCGATGGCCTCGCAACCGTGCTGGTCTATGACCCGCTCGAACTCGTGGCCCACGAGCGACGCGATGTCGTACACGTCCATGACGGTCAGCTCCGCCACGTTCTTCTCCAGCGCCGACTCGGTCGCGGGCGAAGACCCACTGTCCTCCTCCATGGCCCCCCGCCCGGCCTTTCCCGCACCCTGCAAACTAGTGCAACTCCCAAACTTGCCGCTGTCGAGGGCAGCGCCGGGCAGGGCCCACCTCGCACCGTCGCCGGCCCGCGTTCAGCTGGCCCACCGGCGAGGGCGCACCGGGCGAGCGGCCGGCGTCGGCATGCGCGGAGGCGGCGGGCCGCTGCTGGAGGTCGGGGCGCCGGGCGCGGGTCTGGGCGCCCGGTCTGCCCGGAGCCTGCTCCCGATGGGAAGAGGAGGAGGTGGTGGCGAGGAAGGCGCGCGTGCGCAGGCCCGCGGCGCCTCCCAAGTTGGAATCCGAGTTGGGCGCGATGGAGGCGCGGGGCCGGCCTGGAGAGGGGGCCCCGCTGCCCTCGGAAACAGTCCGTACCCGCAGGTCGCCCCCACGGCCGGAGCCTGGGAAGGAAGGGCGGCCGCGACTCCTCCGGGAAACTTTGGAGGCGGCGAGGCCCGGTGACTCCCCCCCACCCCCCCGGGATGCCGCGCGCCCCGCCCCGATCCCGGCCTGACGAGGGGCGCGCCCGGCTTCCGCCGCCCGAGGGCGCCTTGGGGTCCCCGCAGGCGCTACGCTCCGACCTTCCGCTTTGGCGGCCCCTGGCCGCTCTCCACCCGCTGGCGTCTCGCCTGCCCACCCGCCGGAGACCCCAGCGCGGCCCGACGCGCTGCCCAAGCTCCGGCCCGGTGCTGGCTCCTCCTCTCCCTGTCGCGCCGGGAGGGGTCGAGACTAGCCTGGAGGAGAGGGGCGGAGACGCCGGGGACGCTTGTCTCTCCGGACGAGTAGCAGCGTTGCGGGGCGGCCCCTGCGGTGGAGAGAACTGGAGGAGTCACGAGGTGGGCTCCGGGATGGGGCCCATACTGGGGAGAAAGGAGGGAACCCCAGCCCGCAGATCCAGTCACAGGCGTAGCTGGCGGCGCCGGGCCCTGCGCTCGGGTGGAGGTGACCAGCATCGAGGCAGAAGGCCGAGGGGGCCTCTGTCCCCGAAGCCGCCCCACCCGACGAACCAGGTCCATTAGCGGCTCCTGAAACATAAACACTACTTCACAGAGGAGGCGAGGCCCGGGCCTGAGTCTCAGCACCACGAGTTTCCTTGTCCCAAGCATCCTGTCCTTTTGACCTGGCTAAATGTACTAGTCCATCAGATTCCGGTCGCGTACCCCTCGCCCACCCACACCAGCCTTGCCTGAACCCACCATCCCCCTACCCTTACCACCCTCCAACGCATAGGTGAAGGACCCTCCTCTGCATTCGCACGTCCGTCTTCTCCCTTAAAGCTGCTCTTACTTAGCATACGAGTTTTAACGATGTGGTTACAAATGTGCCTCCCCCATTAGACTGCGATCAGCTTGAAGGAATGAAAAAACCTTAACGCCCTTGTAGCCGTAAAGCTCACACCAACCTGGCACATACTGATTAAAACTTAAAAAAAAAGGTTAAAATGTGTTGAACATCTGTTTTATATTTGATATATATCGCTTACTATATGCTATGCATTCTAAGTGCTTTAAAGTATTTCATTTAATCCTTACTCCATTGGTTCTCAAAGTGTGGCCGGAGGAGCACTGGGGTTCCCCAATATGCAAAGGGTCTCTGTGAGGTTCCCCCTCTTGCCAGCTATGTATCAGTGTGACGCCAGGTGTTCTTCCTATGCTTGACATAAAACAGCGTATCACAACAGATTGAACAGGCAGGAGCAGATTATTTGAGGATCCAGCTTTCTTATAATGGTGAACTAGACATTAAGGAGTTTGCAAAAATATAAAACAAATGGCACTTCTAAGTACTTCGTTTTAGAGCATAGAGTTACTTTTCATTAAAAATATTCATGTTAAAATGTAATACATTTGCAATGGAATATTATTCAGCCATAAAAAGAAAAGAAATCCTGCCATTTGCAACAACGTGGATGGATCTAGAGGATATTATGCTCAGTGAAATAAGCCAGGTGGAGAAAAAGAAATACCATATGATTTCACTTATTTGTGGAATGTAAAAACAAAGCAAAACAGAAGGAACAAAACAGCATTAGACTCATAGAGACGGAGAAGGGACTAGTGGTTACCAAGGGGGAGGGGAGTAGGCAGCGGGAGAGGGGGAGGGGTCTGTTTAACCACTGTGATGTACGTTTGATAATAAAAATTTTTAACTTTTAAAAAAATGTAATGCATCTGTTTTTTAATCATTTAACGAGGGGCGCGCCCGGCTTCCGCCGCCCGAGGGCGCCTTGGGGTCCCCGCAGGCGCTACGCTCCGACCTTCCGCTTTGGCGGCCCCTGGCCGCTCTCCACCCGCTGGCGTCTCGCCTGCCCACCCGCCGGAGACCCCAGCGCGGCCCGACGCGCTGCCCAAGCTCCGGCCCGGTGCTGGCTCCTCCTCTCCCTGTCGCGCCGGGAGGGGTCGAGACTAGCCTGGAGGAGAGGGGCGGAGACGCCGGGGACGCTTGTCTCTCCGGACGAGTAGCAGCGTTGCGGGGCGGCCCCTGCGGTGGAGAGAACTGGAGGAGTCACGAGGTGGGCTCCGGGATGGGGCCCATACTGGGGAGAAAGGAGGGAACCCCAGCCCGCAGATCCAGTCACAGGCGTAGCTGGCGGCGCCGGGCCCTGCGCTCGGGTGGAGGTGACCAGCATCGAGGCAGAAGGCCGAGGGGGCCTCTGTCCCCGAAGCCGCCCCACCCGACGAACCAGGTCCATTAGCGGCTCCTGAAACATAAACACTACTTCACAGAGGAGGCGAGGCCCGGGCCTGAGTCTCAGCACCACGAGTTTCCTTGTCCCAAGCATCCTGTCCTTTTGACCTGGCTAAATGTACTAGTCCATCAGATTCCGGTCGCGTACCCCTCGCCCACCCACACCAGCCTTGCCTGAACCCACCATCCCCCTACCCTTACCACCCTCCAACGCATAGGTGAAGGACCCTCCTCTGCATTCGCACGTCCGTCTTCTCCCTTAAAGCTGCTCTTACTTAGCATACGAGTTTTAACGATGTGGTTACAAATGTGCCTCCCCCATTAGACTGCGATCAGCTTGAAGGAATGAAAAAACCTTAACGCCCTTGTAGCCGTAAAGCTCACACCAACCTGGCACATACTGATTAAAACTTAAAAAAAAAGGTTAAAATGTGTTGAACATCTGTTTTATATTTGATATATATCGCTTACTATATGCTATGCATTCTAAGTGCTTTAAAGTATTTCATTTAATCCTTACTCCATTGGTTCTCAAAGTGTGGCCGGAGGAGCACTGGGGTTCCCCAATATGCAAAGGGTCTCTGTGAGGTTCCCCCTCTTGCCAGCTATGTATCAGTGTGACGCCAGGTGTTCTTCCTATGCTTGACATAAAACAGCGTATCACAACAGATTGAACAGGCAGGAGCAGATTATTTGAGGATCCAGCTTTCTTATAATGGTGAACTAGACATTAAGGAGTTTGCAAAAATATAAAACAAATGGCACTTCTAAGTACTTCGTTTTAGAGCATAGAGTTACTTTTCATTAAAAATATTCATGTTAAAATGTAATACATTTGCAATGGAATATTATTCAGCCATAAAAAGAAAAGAAATCCTGCCATTTGCAACAACGTGGATGGATCTAGAGGATATTATGCTCAGTGAAATAAGCCAGGTGGAGAAAAAGAAATACCATATGATTTCACTTATTTGTGGAATGTAAAAACAAAGCAAAACAGAAGGAACAAAACAGCATTAGACTCATAGAGACGGAGAAGGGACTAGTGGTTACCAAGGGGGAGGGGAGTAGGCAGCGGGAGAGGGGGAGGGGTCTGTTTAACCACTGTGATGTACGTTTGATAATAAAAATTTTTAACTTTTAAAAAAATGTAATGCATCTGTTTTTTAATCATTTAAAAAACACCTCAGTTTACCTTTGATATCATCAAGTTCAACAACCTAGTTTTACAGCTCAGAGAGGGGAAGGGACTTGTTAAAAAATCATACACGTACAAAAACCTGATTGAGAATATAAATTTCCTATTAATATTAATGTAATCGCTTGGGCTGAGAGTTTGAGAGTCCCTTAAAATTCCTCAGAAATAACAGTATGTTTATATATACAAGAGGGAACTTAAAAAAAAACACCTTAGTTTAAATTTCTAGTTACAGTAGATATCCACAGATATAACCCACCCAACAAAATCTCTTTAGGTCCTCAATAGTTTTTAAGAGTGGTCTCGGAAAAGGGTTTCTGAGACCAAAAAGTTTGAGAACTGCTGCCTAACAACATCTAAGAACTATTGTTATCTCTGTTTTACAGTTGGGAAAACTGAGGCACAGAGAGGGCAAATAACTTGCCCAAGGCCAGGCAACTTGGTAAATGCTACAACCAGGATCCGATTTGTGCACAGCAACCCAATGAGGTGCACACATGTCTATCCCCATCCTAAATCAAGAACAGTGAGGACCAGGGAGGGGCATTAGCTTCCTGTAGCTTCAGTAACAAATTGCTAGACACTTGGTGACTTCAAACAATGGAAATTTATTCTCCAACTGCTCTGGAGGCCAGATCTCTGAGATCAAGGGGTCAGTAGGGTAGTGCTCCCTTGAAGGCTCCACGGGAGGTTCCTTCCTGTCTTTTCAGCTCTGGTGTACTTAGCTAGTGGCTACATCCCTCCGGTGTCTGCTTCTGTCTTCATGTGAACTTCTCTTCAGGGATCTCAAGATCCCTAACTTAATCCCATCTGCAAAGACCCTTTTTTCAAATCAGGTCATGTTCACAGGTTCCAAGGATTAGGATGTGGAAATATCTTTTGGATGTTTGGGTGGGATGGCACCATTTGACCCACCAGGGGAGGTTAAGTAACTTGCTTAGGGTCCCCCACAGCTGGGAGGGAGGGAGCACCAGTTGGGTGCCTTGTGAATGAAGGTATAAATTCTGAGTGCCCAGATTAGGAGACTCTCAGTACATCTCTGCTGCCCAGAGGGCAAAGCTGTCCCAAGAAAGTGGCTGTGGGGCCAAGTTCATATCTGATGCAGTAGATGATGTTATATGACC